TTCTCTTGCTTGCCAGCGCCGGCGCCCTCCTCGACAATACCGTGGGTATTTTGCTTATGAACCCGTAAAAAGTACTTGCTGCAGAGCTCCTTCTTGCATATGTTGCAAATGACCCCGCCAATTTGGGCGCCGTTCTCGATCTCGATGCCGTGCATCTTCTGCATGTGGGTCTTCATGAAATACTTGTTGCACAATTCCTTATTACAGATTTCGCAGTAGCTCGATGTGGGCGTGATTGAGGCAATTGCCTTACGCTCCATTTGCTGGGACGAATTTGATTTGGGGGTGGACGTGACGGAGGATGGTAGCTGTGGGGTCGAGCTCGTTGGCGTTAACGGTTGATGATCCTCAGCGATATGTTTCCTTAGTGCTTCCTGGTTACAGAATTCCCTCTCGCACAAGGTGCACAATACTTGCGCGACGGTCGTCGTGGGCGATGACTTTTCGCTCGGTACACGTTGGGGCTCGCCCGACGTAAGGTTCTCAGGTATCACTCCGTGCTCCGCAACCATGTGATTTCTTAAAGCGGCCGGTGTGTCGTAATCCTTGCCGCATAGAGCACAGGAGGCCGCTTTGTTCGACTCCAAGCCGTTCAATTGTAAAATCATCGTTTGCAGCTTTTGGAGATCCTCGGATATCGAGTCGGCTCGCTGGTCCGTTAAATCAGCCTCGTGATCGGCTCGCGGCGACGAATGACCCCCATTATCGTGAATTTTCTCGACATGCAAATGATAGAGGCCCAGCGTCTGAAAGCGAATGCCGCAAGATCGGCAGGCGTATTCCTCGGTGCGATCTCCTGATTCCGATCCATTGCCAAGGCTGTCCGTCATTATCAGATTCAACGGGCTTGTCTGAATTTGATGCCAAGTGATGCCGGGATTCGAGCTACTCGGGGATTTGTCGCTATCTGTAATTAAAATCCCATGGCGTTTGAGCTTGTGCGTACGAAGAAAATACTTATTGCAATACTCTTTGCAACACATTTCGCAAAATGCTTCAGGATTCATAACGCCGACGAGGCGATGACAGTGCTCTCCGTTAAATGGCGATTCCTTGATTTGGGGAGACGCGGGGCCAACGACGAGCTTCGAAGCTAATCCGTAAGCTGCTTCCTCTTGATCCACGCAGTACTCTTGTTTAAAAAGCGCCTCCATACCCACGGGGCTGTGTCTTTCCTCTTCGGACGAAGAGGGCCGAGTCATTGGCGGTTGAGTGGAGTCGATGCTATCGTTGCCTTGATTTGTGTGGATTTTCTGCTTGTGCTTTCGTAAGGAGTCGTCGCTTTTGAAGCGCTTCGGGCAGATATCGCACGGTATTGCCGGCTGTTGTTGCATTGCATTATTATCGATTCTGGGAGATTGCTGATCGGCCACTTTTATGCACATATTGGTTGGGAGGCTGTTAACGCCGGGACTGGAGGTTGAAACAAACGTATTAGATGGGGCGCCGTCGCTACCTTGGGATTGGCTGTTGGGCGTCGTATCGACGTAAATGCCGTGCTTGTTCGCCTTGTGCGTTTTGAGAAAATATTTGTTACAAAATTCCTTATTACAGAGATCACAGTATGCATCGGGATTGAATATCTTTGGAAATTGTCCCATAGCCGCTCTTTGAATTTGCGTGGAATCTGGTAGTGGGAAACCGGGCATTGGTAGAAATTGTGCGAGTGGGCCCGGGAAGCCCGTAGGCATCGTTTGAAAGTGATTGTTATTCCGCACGGCAATTTTCGCCAGCGGAGAGTCAGTCTGCGTTTGTATTTGCCCCTGCCCCGATAACCAAGAGGCGCTCGTCGCGAAGTTTCGAATACTTATGCCCGAAAGATTGATTGGACTAATGGACTGTTCGGCATGGTCGATTGTTTCGGGACTTGATCGCGATTGGGTTTGCATTAGTGGCGAGTCGTTATTATTCGAGAGACCTTGATTGTGCTGCTGCTGTTGTTGTTGCGAATTATGCTGCTGTTGATGCTGCTGTTGATGCTGCTGATGCTGCTGATGTTGATGCTGCTGATGTTGATGCTGCTGATGTTGATGCTGCTGATGTTGATGCTGGTGTAGCGCAACATTGTTACTCGAAAAATTAAAATTATGTTCGGATTCGAGATGCACATCGAGCGTAACGCGACTATCAAAAAATTGACTACAATACTCGCAGCGAAATTCATTGTTCAGATTAACGTCTTTGTTCGTCGGATGGCCTTGGGTGGATTTAGAATCCGGCGATGCCGTCGGCTTACCTTCCAGCTCGCACTGCTGATTATACTCGCGTTGGTCGTGATTGTTCGCTCCCTGAATTTCGCCCGCCGACTCTTCTTCCGACTCGTCGCAATCGTCCATGCTTAGAGAAGTCGAGAACTTCACGGGAGTCGACTGTTTCCGTCGCTTTTTCGGCAGCCCTTCCGAATCACCGAGCAATCGTCTACGGGATTCTCGCTCCTCGCAGCTCGAACCCTCACTATCGATCTCCGCCGGATCTGGCAGGCATGTCTCTTGGCTGAACGACATCTTTTACTGGATTTGGACAGCTTCCGTTACTTCCGCCTTTAGATTCTCGTACTCTGGATGTATATGGAAAAATAAGAGAGAAAAGAAATGATAAAGAATTACAAGTTATAGAAGAATAGCACATACAAAATGCACGATTAAAATATCTTACGATTGCTGACAAGTCATGCTTCCACCCACCGTCCCCCCCCCCCCCCCCCCCCCCTTGCGTATTGATTTGTCAATGACATAACATGAGCATTAATTATTTATCTAAAGGGGAGATTAGCTGTACTTGGGAAAATTTTCAGTTGATTGGTGCCTAATATACGCTTCAATTAACAAACCAATGTCAAGCTATTTATACATGAGTTTCGAGTTTGTTTCGTAAATGTGAGAAATGTTATGGTCGTTTTTAGTGAAAACGAAAAGAAAAAAAAAGAAAAAAAAACACAACGGGGAGTGGAAAGCCGGCTCGTCAATTTTCACAAAACTCGTTACGAGCTTGGCCATTTAATAGTTTTGCTGAAACTTAATAGTTTTGCTGCGACGAAGTTTTGACTGGGCGTACTTATTAAATGGTAATTGTTGTAATGAAAAATGATTATTCTTTTATCTCTTCATTGAATATTATTCAATAACTTTGTATGATAAATTTACGATGAGTTACAGTTTATTTATTATAGATCTTTTAAATAATCGACGATATTTATATAAATACATATAAACACACACGCGCGCGCGCGCGCGCGCACGCACACACACACACACACACACACACACACACACACACACACATATATATATATATATATATATAATTCGAATAGTTACGATCATGATATTTTATACTTTTCTATACAGATTTCTATTTTCTTTGTAATATCAAACTGTTGTTACAAGTATATTTAATTTAATATTTATTTTAACGTGTATCTCTATTGTTTATATAAGGCTAGAATATGACGTTTTGCACGATACTGAAAAACATTTACAAATTGTACGATACAATGTACTTTAAGATAAATCGATACGTTAAATATTTAAATTATTTTCAATTCCAATTCACGAGCTAGTAATGGTAATATTTTATATATTATAATTGGAAATTGTTAGGATTGAGGAGAAACATCCTATTAGATTCACATTGATTCACCAGAAAAATCTGTATTAAGGACGAAACCCTAAAATGCATTTGGCATTGATCGATGGACCGTATAATGAAATATAATCATATAAAGTACATATACAGTGGAATGAAATATTTTCTCGAGCGAAAATTGTAACGATGCAATAACCACTGATAAGAATCAGCAAAATGTAAATTTGTCAGTTTTAAACATCTGCATAATTTTTATTAAAAACAATATCGTATCTTCGCGTTATATTATATATTTATAAATTTCATCGTGTAGAGGCCGTTTAAACGTTACGCATCGATAATATTATTGATAATTGTTAAGCAATTGACTCAGCATGTAGAGCGTTATGCCTATCTTCAGGACTCTAAATAAAATTCGATCATTCGCATTGCACAACAATGTAAGAAGTAACGACATATCGAGTAAATAATCGAGTAAAGGAACATTGAGAAAAATATAATAAGTGAACATAAATGAATTAATGGATATGACATAGTAAGTCGTCAAAATTCTATTTTCGGGCTTATTCCTCAGAAAAGCGGGATATTTGTTTTAACGACAATATTTCCTTTAGAAAAACGATCTTTTTTTTTTCTTTTCCTTTATTTTTTTTGTTCTTTTTTGTTCTTTTCTTTTTTTTTTTTATTCTTTTTGGACCCGGATGTAATAATATTATCGCTTTTAATAAGTACGGCAAATGAAGTTTGCCTTCAATCTAGCGAAGGAAAGTGGATTAGGCGCGCGGCTAGTGGCTAGTTTAAGAAATTGGCAAAAGTTGGAAAGAATCGAGGGGTGGATCGGACGCTCGTTGGGGTAAATTTCATAATTTTCGTCCGCGCCATAATTTCATCGCTGCGGCCTTCAATCCCTTCGGGGCTCTGGTAGCGGTGATGAGGTAGAGGGGAACAGGGGGGAGGGGCATTGAGAGGGAAAGGAGAGGCAGGGCCTATCGATTTTTCAGAGGCTCTCGAGCGATCCACGACATTCCGTCCTGCGACGCCGGTCGCCTCCGAAGCAGCCAGCGTCGCCGCTGCGGCTCCCACTGCAAAAGCAATCCGATACCTTATTAACGAGTCTCATCGACTCCCGTTGCAAGAGGATCTCCGGCGACAGTGCGCATGCCGGCATTAATTTCGAATCTTCCAACGATTTCAGGCGAGAAATCGCCTCGCGTAGGATGGACCGGAGGCGCCTAACGAGGCGGCCTCTGGGGAAGACGGAAAAGCCGTCGTGCACACCCTCTATCGTGTTGTACGGGGGTCTCGCGCGCTCGCGCTCGCTGGCAAGGGGCTCACATGACTCATCGCTTCGCACGCCCTCGCTTTTGGGGACGATTTCGAGAAAATTGAGAATACGCGCTTTCCGCAGCCACGGGCTCATTAGGGGTCGCTCGACCGTAGGCGTGATCCGACTATTGTCGCTTTGGACGCTCGTCGCTCGCCACCCGACAACGCATTTTACAATTACGGCACCCCGTCGGCCCACTATCGATTCTGCCTTTTTATCTACCTCCCTCTGCCCCAGCACCGTCGACGCATTTCATTCACGAATTTTCCGGCTTTCTCGACCCGCCCAACTCGA